GGGGGGGTTCTCCTAAGAGAGACCCCAAGCCTTCTAGCGCCAACGCCCCGAACCCGCCAAACCCTGAAGCCTAAAGGATTAAAACAAAGAGTTTAGGGTTTAGGGGTTTAGGGTTTAGGGTAAAACCCTAAACCCTAAACCCTAATCCTAGTAAAACCGAAATAATGGAGCCCTATGAACATCTAATCCCTGCACCTCACAACCCCATAAGCTTTTACAAGATTTGTGCCTGCTTGCTGCTTTCAGCCCTTGGCTGTCAGTTCCTAGATACCCTAAACCCTAAACCCTAAACTATTGATATGCAGAGACTTCGACATTGGGGTTTAGGCATGTTTAGGCCTTACAGGGTTTAGGGATTTGGGTTTAAAAAGTTTAGGGTTTAGGGTTTAGGTTAGGCCTTTTAGGGTCTGGGGATTTGGGTAAAACTGTTTAGAGTCTAGGGTACTTCGAAAGGTGAGGGTTTCGAAAACATGTTCAAGCCGTTACGGTTCCATGGCATTCCTGACACAAGAAGCCACAGAGCAGCGAGAGCAGTGCCCGGTCAGATTTCTTGTTCAACTAGGCCCGGAATCCTCTATACTTCGATCTCGATACACCTCAAAAGCCTGATCTGAATATCAGGGCCCCTGTGCACTAAACAAAACCCTTAACCGTAAACCCTAAACCCCTATACCTAGTAAAGCCCCTGCAGCGCCAACGCAGAAAGACAGCCTCTTCCGGAAGGGTGGATTTCTTCAGGACACGCCGGCGAAAAGCCGGCTGAACGTCTGATTTGGACAATCTTCTTGCTCCATTCACCAACAATCCCAGGTGTCTGCCAACATAACGAAGGACGGCCGTGATGTAGAAGCCTGAATACTGAATACTTGCCAAGGGTGTTCATTGGGGCCGTGAGGTTCTTTGTCAAAACTATACTGCAATATACCCCGAAAATCCCAAAAGCCCTTTACCAATTATTAAGACCCCTTTTATCAGCCCTATACCGCAAACCAACAAGATCTGCTGGGAATCTACAAGAAAGCTTCCTTCACACACACAGTTGCAGGATCATGGTAGTTAGTAGGGTGACTTTGGTTGGGGGTATACGTGCCCCGAATGAGAAAAGCATAAGTAGAGTTGACTTCGAGTTCGGTTCTTGGGTTTAGGGCAAGTTTCGGGCGACAAAACATTCAGATGCAAAGCAACGACAAGTTCACCAAAAGCCCATGGCAATGACCTACGTCCAGCCATAGATCGCAAGCCCTAATATAAAGAGTTGGATTATATTTTGCATCCCCTTAGAGTCCGTAACATACCTCTACTATCATAAACACCAAAACCATAGTCTAAGTATTGCGGCCCCTAAACCCTAAACCCTCAACCCTAAACCTTAGAGCCCTGCAGCCTCAGCAGCCTTCCATCTGAAATGTGGAAGCCACAAAATCCTGAAGTGTAATGGTAACCCGGTCTAGGGTTTAGGGACGGTTACCTGGTAGACACCTAAGAAGCCTTATGTATCCCTATAGGTTAGGGTATGATCGGTATAGGGTGTATAGGATATGGCATAGGCTGACCCTATATAACCCTAAAGCTGGAAGCCAACACCTCAAAAGGGTTTAGGGGTTTATGGTTTAGGCTTGTACATCCCTAAAACCTGTAGGACCGAAGAAAAAGCTAGTCTAGCTCCTTGTGCCGTCAGCGCCGTGGAAAGCAGTCCTCCCAGCGTTTCCAGAGTGTCTCGGCGAGAATGACAGATCTGGAACAGCAGCAGCAATATGCGAGTTGCGACTCTGCTACGCAACTTGACGTTGCGCATTGCGAGACAACCTGCAGATCAGCATCTCAGATGATCTCGCTCACGAGCTGTCACTTCAATGATTAGGGCCCTAAACCCGAAACCCCCCAAGCCCTACACCCTAAAGCCTAACCCCTAAAGTGAAGACGTCATCTTGCGAGTCTGACAGCTCGGCTAATCCCGTTCGGCAGAGTGCAGTGGTTTTAGCGATGGGGATCCCATGCAAAGAAAAGCAATACAGGGGCCCTAATAATTGGAATAGGGGTTTGGGGCCCATGAATTATACTAGATTTTTAAGTATACTAGAATTTGAATAAGGAGCCCCAAAAAATAAGATTGGTTACTATTTAGGCCTCTACATTGCTGAGATATTGGGTTCAAGGTAGAGTCTGGCCAAGGGATTTCGGAGGTCTACCGCGGTTGAGTTGTACTAGGGTTTAGGGTTTAGGCTTTGTTGTACTTGTCTGAACCCTGATCTACAGCCCCCCATTGAAAAAGTTTTGGGATTTGGGTTTCAAGCTTTGCAAAAGGATGTGTCACAGTAACCTGTAGAATCTGTGTATAGCTAGACTATAATGTACACCCCCAACTCCGCAACCCTACTATTCCAACTGCTAACGACTACCCTAAACCTTAAAAACCGAAGCCCCATTGTAGATACTACGGCTTAACCCTGAACCCTAAACCCT